TCACATATTTAAGTATTTACTGATGCAATTTTTCAACAACAAGAGTTACTTGCAACTAATCTAAAACTAATTAAATGGACAATAAATGCGCATATACCCAATATGTACATATATGTGCATACCTTTTATGAACTTTGATGAATATACATGCATGTATATTCCACGAACATTCATGTTAGGAATGTTCAACCATGTACATTCCCAGGATATTCCCGCAATGTTCTGTATATTTTTTGAACATTCTGGGATATTCATAGAATATCAAATGCTATCTGGGACTTTAACGAATTCTCTATCTAGATTGAATGCGTCGGCGTTTTACAAGTTAAAATGTAGCCCCGACGATTTGCCCCCCGAAGTAGAGCGGCAATGTCTGTTGGGACTCTTGCCTCATTCCATCCGTGGATTTTTGCCTTCATTTACCAACATTCTACCAGCCACGATTAAGTACGATAAATGCGTGGCCTGCTCCCACTCTATTTTGCAGGAGTATGAAAGCGAGGGTCTGGAGTTTCTGCTCAAGGTGTTCAACAGCTCTAAACACCTGGAAGATGTTGCGAAGCTGACGGCTTTGCTAGAGAGTTTCGATTTTAATCAGGTAGGATTATGAACGAACGTGATTTGGCACGATTTTGCCCTGTTTTTTTTTTAGGTCATGGAACTGAGCGATGAGGTTTCTGATTGAAGTCGTGCTTTGTCCTTTTTTGCTTAGTTTTGCTGGAATAAAACCACTTTTTTGGAATAAAACCAAGTTTTTTTATTTTACACAGTGATCAACAAAATGTGCCTGTGATTCTAATTGTACAAAATAAAGAAAGTGCTGGAGATCTTTTTACAGGTAGGTACAGTACAGTACAGATAATCTGCCCTGCTAAGACAGGAAGTCGTATCTGCAAAAACCAAGTTTTGAGATATTAAGCAATTGGTAAATTATGACATGCCATCTTTGCTTATTTGCAAAACTCTTTTTTACGATCTCAATGTGGACTTCACGTTAATAAACTTACACAAGAAATCGTAAGGTTGTAAATTTCGGGATTCGATAAAAAAATTGACTTTTGTTAGATACGACTTTTTGTTTTAGTATTCTCATACTATTAAGGCATACACATACTAAGTAATTTTGCAGTATAGTCCTCATAGTTTAGCAAATAACATAAAGTTGAGTTCAATCAATGGTCCACTAAATTTGGTTTGATAAAAAAGGTTTTTAGAGCCCCTTTTCAATTGAAGCTCAACAAAATTTGCTAAATAAGGTTTAGATGTAATTTTGTTCATTTTGAATCTTGCAGAATAGTCAATAAAATCATTAAGACTCATTTCAATCATCTCTACCCTTGAACTATTTGATTTTTTGACACACGTTTTAAAATTCTCGAAATCTAATACTTTTCCTGTTTGTTTTAAAGACTTTTCCACTTGGCAAGAGTCAGCGGACATGAAAGTGTGGTCAGTTTGTAAATAGTTTAATTTGAATAAACTTGGATTTACTTCTAACGAGTTAATAACAAAAACAAAAAGCAATATAAGGCCCAATTCTTGTTTTGCGAAGCGCAGTTATCTAGCCAAATTGTTATTTCTTTAACATCAC